TACTATATACTTTGCTGCAGATCAAGTCTTTTTCCAAGGATGAGGTTACAAGCGTTATGTGTGGTGCAGCTACCACATTGTGTGTGTGTGTATGTGTGTGTATTTTAAGGGAGAGAGAGCATGAACAACAGCTGTCTCAGGCACATGTAATCAAAAGGACTATACATGAAAAACAGATCCAAGAGGCTGCATTCAAGCGTTCTTTACTGGAAAAGAGAACAAGGCTTAATTGAAAGGTTTAACTGGAAGATAAAGTCTCTCTGCTTGCCAAGCTGGAGACTGACAGGGTGAAAGAAAGGGTTAGGTCAGGCCCTTGCCAAACTCCATCTGACGTGAGCTTTATGGAGTAGAAACGTATTCCTTTTTGTAATTCTTTTTCCCCTTTGTATGCTCTGCCCTTAGAGGAAAGCCTGTGATTCACCTGCACAAGATACACCCTGAGGGGAGGGAAGAGAAACGAGGTGGGGATTTGAGCAGATTCAGCTAAAGAAATTGGAAAGCAGGCGAAAGACAGTGGGACAGTCTCAGACACTGAACACATACATCTGCAGGGTTGCAAAGCTACACACGTTCAACAATGCTCTGTGCTAGGCTCAATATTCTCAACATCTGTTTTCCCAATCCCTCCACCTTGGTAGAAACCCAAACTCTCCTCTCTCCTCAAGATACATCTTACTTCTCTATCAGCCCCCTGGATACTCATTCTCTCATATCCCACATGCCAAGGGATCAATTCAGTGTCTCACAGTTCCCTTCCCATCCCAGCGATAATCATAGTTTTCCAATTTCCAGCAGAAATTGCTCAACGCTTCCTGGCCAATGCTCATCATCTTTGCCCCACAAACCTGTCCTCATTCATCATTTCTTTTCCCACTGAGTGACACCATCCAAGCTAGGGGCCTGAGAGATGTGTCAGATGCCACCCTCATCTAATACTGTCCAAATCCAGATAGTCACAAAGTCATTTGAAATCTACCTACTACATCTCTGGAGAACCTTTCTCCTTTCTTCCCAAATGTCATAGTCCAGGTCCTGTGACGTATTAGGCTTAGTTCAGGGTGGCAAGATCCTTGGAAGATGTTCACCTGGATCCATGCCCATGCCGTGATTATCTCCTAACTGCAGATACTTTGCTTGGTCCATGTTCTAGCAAATGAAACACTGAAAAGATATCTTTTCAGCTAATAAGCCCTAAGGAGTCGCAATCAACCAGATCAGTGTCTTTGATCGTCCTAGTGTCTACAAGTAAATCAACCATGAGGGACACATACGGCCAAGAAAACAAGAAATGTCAGGTTATTTTTCATGTCCAGAGTTCCATACTCAAGTAGAAAACCACATATGAAATAAGCATAGACTTAACTGCTATGAAAACGCTCTGGCCTCAACAAGACAAAAACAAGACTCGGTCTCAGTAGCAGCGTCCCCTGAATTAGTGCCATAACAAGAGGTAAAATGATATCCTAAATATGCCTGCATTCTAGAAATGCAGTATTTGCCAATGGTAAGTGAAACATTAAAATTAGCTTCTTGGACTGGTCAAAGCTTCCAACTGAAAAATGTTAATTCCAAAATGATTTTTTCTGGGCCAGATCTAAAGGAGAAAACATGCAACTGGACATCCCAGAAAATGACACTAAGATTCTCTGAAGGCAAAGTGGGACAAGTAGATTCCTCTTGGACATACAAAAGCCAACAGCAACAAAGTGATTTTTATAGCAGGCAAAGACAGCACACCCAGGCTGGTACTGAAAAGCCATCCAAGGAAAACAAGAGTGACTAAGAGAAGGGGTTCTGAGCAGACTTTGTATCTAAGTGGCATCTATAGGAGGATGAGTACCTCAGAAAAGAACTAATCTAGTGCTAAACTAATGAAAAGTTTTGATTTTCAAAAGAGAGATTAATAAAACCATAAATATTGAGTGTTTAAAACTTTTATACTAAAAAGGCATCAGTACGGAATTAATGCCATCAGACTGCCCTGTGAGAGTGAAATGTTTAGTCAACCAAGCATAATTAATTAATTGTGTTTTATTACAATGCCAAGAAAAAAATGGCTGATCAATTCTTTCTCTGAATCAGCTTCATTAACTTTGTGGCTTTGCTCACACATAAACAAAATCAAGGTGAATTTTACAGATCCAAGTTTATACCAAAAACTCAACTTAATCAAGCTTAGATAAAAAACTTTTCTTCCCTGATTTAGAAAACAAAAATTAAGAAATATCTCAATTCATAAAATATAAGAACTCAGTATAAAGCAGTCAGAGTAAAATAAGTTATCAAAGAACCCAGTCTCATGTCTCAAGCCAAGAGAAAAGCAGACCTTGTAGACCAAAAAGTCAAAACATCAAGAAAAAAAGTCAATTATTAACCAAATCTTCAAATCCGAAAAGAAGAGAATGGTTCACCATTGTATCATCCAAATCAGTTAAGTGGTTTCTAAAGTCTGTCTCCTGACAAGATCACACATGCCCTGGATTTGACTGTATGTCAAACGATACCAAATACTTATCAACTCAGTTTCCTATAGATGACAAAATGCATTCCTGGAACAGAAAAAAGATCTCTTACTTGGAATCTAATCATCTTCAAAGCAATTCACACTACTTGTGTTTGGTTCACCAAGATATTTGCTTGGCAACTACAAAGGCATTTGGGCTACTGATGGTACTTGCTCTTCTGGAATGAAAAAGATGGGAAAACAGGCATGTTTTAAATTACGGATTTTAACTCCCAGGTAGAGAGGAATAGAAAGGGCTGCAAAGATTGTGTCTGGAAATGACCCAAGGGCTCTACCTTGCCAGCTTAATGCTTCTTTCATCTTTGAAGACCTGACTTTCTTTCTACAGCAAATCATTCTGCATTAGTCCTAAGTCTGGATCAAAACCCTCAAACAGAGAGCACCAAGAGCAAGGACGGCTGAACCAGGTGCCAGGGTCATCATGACTCGTGGCAAGCTCCCCTGGGGCCCACGTAGAGAGTGGCACTTAGTTGCCAGCCCATTGCATCTCAGAGAAAGAAAAGGAACTGAAGTACATTGCAAATAACATCTTTTACTCTCAACCCTAGTCTTACATTAATCTACTTTCATCTTTGAATGAGGAACAGAAAAAAAAAATAGAACAAGAAAAGACAAGACTGCAGAGATAAAGAGGATAATGAAAGTAAGTACAATATGGAACACTGGCTAAAGGTTCTGAGGTCCAACTGACTTGGGTTTGAATCCCAGCTCTGCAGCTTAACACCTTTGTGTTAAAACTTGGCCAGTCTGCCCATCACAAATTTTTGTTTTCTCATCTGTAAAATGGGGTAATAATACCGTATTAGCTTGTTGTGGAGAATAAAAAGAGAAAAATATGTAAAAGCACTTGGCACATTGCTTGTCAGAGAAGGTGCTCAATGTAAGTAGCTGAAAAGGGAGGGGAGTGGAGAGGAGAGGGGAGACTTTCAGAGAAAGCGTCAAGGGTTCAAAGAACAGAACAGCCTGTACTCACTCAAAATAAATGCCTCATTCTTTTTTTTTTTTTTTTTTTTTTTTTTTTTTTTTTTTTTTTTTTTTTTTTTTTTTGAGATGAAGTTTTGCTCTGTCACCCAGGCTGCAGTGCAGTAGAGTGACCTCAGTTCACTGCAGCCTCCAACTCCTAGGTTTGAGCAATTCTCCTGCCTCAGCCTCCAAAACAGCTGGACTACAGGCGTGTGCCACCACACCTGGCTAATTTTTGTATTTTTAATAGAAACAGGGTTTCACCATTTTGGCCAGCCTGGTCCTGAAGTCCTGGCCTCAGGTGATCCACACGCCTCAGCCTCCCAAAGTGCTGGGATTACAGGTGTGAGCCACCACACCCAGCCTAAATGCTTCATTCTTATAATCAAACTGAAGAGATTTCCTGATCACCTACTACATAATTAGCAATGCACTTCACTCAGATATGAATGTACTCCAATCCCTCTCTTCATTCTCAAGGTGTATACAATCCTACTCAGGAAACAGAATTCTAACACATTAAGTACATTAAAAAAGTAATGATAACCAGAATTGCAAAGTGGCCTGCGTGCAGTACACAATGCAAGTGCTGCAGCCATGTGAAGATGGCGCCAGTGAGGGCACCTATCTCCTTCTCCCTGACTTGCAGGGAGAACAGACAGAAGGAGAAGGGAAGGCTCATCGGGTGAAGAAAAAGAAAGCATGCCACAGCTAGAGTGTTGCCCCAAAATACCCAGGAGATGAGCAAAACAAAAGAGCAGGGAGTTGTGGAGTGACAGCCCGGATTAGGGAGTGGACAAGCAAAAAGGAAGAGCCTGAGAGCCATGGGAAACAAAACTGAACCCATTTTAGGGACTGAACAGGAAAATAACAGAGAGGGCCCTGCCTTACATCTCTCTCAGATTTATTGTTCCCATTTAAGACCTTGCACACACCTTTCCACCTTCCTGATGTTTCACAGGGGGAAATGAAATCACACTCTTCTATTTCTCTAGATAGAGGATGTCATCACCTTCATTTGATAACCAAGATGCACAGAGCAGGGTTTACAAATGTAGGCTGGGCTAGGGCCATATCCCAGCTCTGTGGCTTACTAGCTGTGTGGCCTCAGGCAAGGAAACTAACCTTCCAGGCCTCAGTTTCCTTCTCTGCAGATAGGGGGAATTATAATGCCCCTCTGCAGACTGTTGACAGGATAAGTGAGTCAATACATTCCATACATTCTGTAATTGAAAATCACGTATAATACATATAATAGTGCCTGGCACATAGGAAGACATCCACAAAAAGGACTACTATTACTACTTATTATTATTATATGTATTATCATTAATCTTTAGCTGGAATGCAGCCATGGAAAGCCCAAATAATTCTCTCACGCATGACTAAGGACCAGGCATCAGGAGAAAACTCATCTTAGAATTGCAAGTTCTTTCACAACTATCACCAACAGTGGTAACCCCAATGCAGGACCCAGACAATCAAGCACCACACAGGAGGACTCAGCCTATACCTTGCTTGGTGAATGGCCTCCATCCACTCTTTACCATCCTGCTCCTCCTCACAGCGCAGCTCCAGTGGTTTCTGACCTTCATGGCCAAAAAGAACAGTAAAGTAATACTGGAAAGGAAAACAAACACAAAAAGTTTAGTTCTATTTTTCAAGCACAACAACATAATAACACAGTATTTGCCTATCAAGGGTATATATTTACAAAATGCATCAGCACTTATGCAAATTTTATTTCAAAATGCAACACATCACTCTTGGTCCAGTTGGCAATGACTTTGCACCTAGAAGATACCATAGTCTGCATCTTAACGTTGCTCAGTGAGGGTCAGCCCTTAACACTACTGTAATGGACATTTCCATGCAAGTACAAAGAAGAATATTGTACAAATTGGGCTATGGAGATAAATGAAGTAATATGATATTTTCCAAAAGGTTTCCCTTTTTGTGGTGTGATAAAGCTGCAGGGACACATGAGTCTACATCACTGCACCAGCTAATTTTATTATCTGTTTTATTCTATATCTATTCTCCATCCTGGGAAGCAATATCCCTATAATTATGCAGTCCAATTGCTGTCATTTGCCTCTTCTGCAACCTTAGCAGATGTCACCATTTGCTTACGCCCTTGTTTTCCTAGAAGTAGCCTTGCAATTCTTTTCAACATAGTATTCCAGAATGCAGACTTGACACAAGAAAGGAAATTTAATTGTCATCCTAGGGGACAAAACATGATCAGAATTTCTTTTTGGTAGAGGTGTAACATAAGTTATTGTTGCATGAAAGGAACTGGGCTTAAGTAGGGAAAAGACTAACATTTTTCAGGGGTAAAATAATTTATCTCATATGAACCTTATGTACTTCATTTGTTTATTCACACACCTATTAAAGGATATTTAGGTTGTTTCCAAAAACTGGAAACAACCTAAATATCCAAATGCAGTATATCCGAACAATGGAACACTACTCAGCAATAAAGAGCAAACAAAATTATTGATAAAAGCAACAACGTGGAGCAAAAGCATCATGTTGAATAGAAAAGTCAGTCTCAAACACTTTTCAGCAATAAAAAGAAATAATCATGATAAAAGCAATAACGTGGAGTAAAAGTATCATTTGGAATAGAAAAGTCAGTCTCAAAGGTTATATACTATGTATGATTCCTGTTGTGTGATATTCTTAAAACAGGGACAGAGAACAGATCAGGAGTTTCCAGTGGTCAGGGGTGGGAGTGTGTGACTATAAAGGAATCGCATGAGGGAGCCTAGGTGGTGATAAAATGGTTCTGTATCCTGATTCTGGAGGTTACACAAATCCAAGCATCTGTTTACATTCATAGAAATGTACACCAAAAAAACAGTCAATTTTATACTGTTAATATAAAGATAAAAATTTGTTACTGGTTTCTCAGGATTCCAGAACAGACACAATCATACAACCAAGATTCAAAGACTCTCAAACTCATGCTAGCTTACTAAGCCACTCCATGTTCCAGCAAAGACTGACACGTTTTATATCAACAAGCAGAGTCCTCAGATCACAGTTCTAAAACAGAAGTTTTTTTACAATCAACTTAGAATAATCTGTTAAGATGTGGAGAATTCTCATGTAAAATACACAGAAATACATATGTATATTGGGTTTAGAGTGTGCTTTGAATTAGACAAAGTGACAGACGTCTTGGGTTGAAGATGCATTGCCCTTCGACAATATTCATGAATAACAATACACCCAGTAGATCACGATCAGTCAGTACAAACTCAGACATCTTTAAGTCATAATTGAACACGTGGGATATCTGAAGATTTGCTCTAGCTATAAAGTTTCAAAATGCTTTAAAACAAGCCACTAGATCCAGAAAAACTAATAGTGCTTCCAGAGTTAATGCTTATTCTACCCCATTTTGTTTTCCAAGCCCCTTAGGATATGTTAGGATATGTCCTCTCCAGTTTCCTTTTTTTTTTTTTTTTTTTTTCAGATGGGGTCTCACTCTATCTCTGGGGCTGGATCTTGGTTCACAGCAACCTCTGCCTCCCAGGTTCAAGCAATTCTCCAGCCTCTGCCTCCCAAGCATCTGGAATTACAAGCGCCCACCACCACATGGGCTAATTTTTGTATTTTTAGTAGAGACAGGGTTTCGCCCTATTGGCCAGGTTGATCTCAAACTCCTGATCTCAGGTGATCTGCCTGCCTCAGCCTCCCAGTGTTGAGATAACAGGAGTGAGCCATCGCCCTCAGCCATCCTCTCCAATTTCCTGACCACTGTGAATCAAAGTAGGGCAAAGCAGTAAACCAAGCTGAGGGAAAATCCCAAACTAGGCAAAACATACATAGCCAAACTAAAGTAGGGGAGAAAAGAAGGAATCCTCCAGTGTAGAAACAAAGGTGAAAGGCAAAGGCAAAGCAAAAAGCACAGTAACTAAGGTTCTAACATCCAAGGGTGGAGGGCTTTGGATCCCACGGTCTTGGCCCTGTGCAGGGCACCAAGTTGGAACCAAGATCCATGCATAACATCGAAACATATGAAGGGTTACCACCTCCATGCAACAGAGACTAGAAAAACTCTGCCCCAAATCCACCATACACCAGGATAATTTCCAATTGCAACAGAAATTTTAATGTTCTGTTGTACTGATAATTATTACAATAATATCAAATACTTCTTATAATATTACTATCAGTAGTAGTAATTATAAAATTATAAAGTATCTTATTCCTCTTCTGTTTATTTCCCAACAATTCCATTTCCCTGATTGAAGGATAGTATCAAGTCACTTAAAAAAATAAAATAGACAGACCTGAGGAAGGTGGCCGATTAGGAGCAGCTCAGGATTGCATCTCCCAGAGAAAGCCCGGAGGGTGAGTGGACGCCGCATTTCCAGACAGATTTTTATTACCAGGAGATTCCCAGGTAGAGGAGCCCCACGGGTTGCCAGCACGGCTGTTTCGTCTGGTGAGACTGTTTTGGCCAGCGCCATGGCACGGCAGTTCGTACAGAATACACGGGTCCAGGCACCGTTTTAGCGGGCGATTGGAACTCCTGGGATACAGAGTCACCCACTCAACTGATTAAAAAAAGGGAGCCAGGCCAGGAGATTCCCTGGCAAAAAAGGAACAAGAATCTCAGCGTGGCTGTTGCAGGTACAGTGGGTCACCACATGGGAAATCACACAGATCCCAGCACCTTTTCAACAGACAACTGGAACACCTGGGACACAGAGTCAACCATGCAACTCAAAAAAATAAAGGGCTCTGAGGCAGGGAGCCAGGTGATCAGGCTCGGCTGGTCCCACCCCCACAAAAAAACAGCAATCTGAAATGATCTGGATTGAGAGTTTCACGGCAAGCACAGGTGAACCCGGGAGGGTCCAGCTCTGTGGGGGAGGAGTGTCCACCATTACTGAGGCAGTCCACCACTACGGAGGTAGTCCACCATTGCCAAGGCAGCCTGCCATTGCCAAGGCAGCCCGCCATTGCCGAGGAAGCCCACCAATACTGAGAGAGTCCGCCATTATACAGGTGGGCCGCCATTGCCAAGGCAGTTCTAACTATACCCATATAAACAGGACTGCAGGGAAGGTCACATGGCAGCTGGGTGGAGCCCACAGCTGCTCAGCAAACTTTTTGCAAGCAGACAGTGACTAGGCTGCCTCCTGGCTGGGCACGGCAGCCCTGAAAAAAGGTAGCAGCACAGCAGAAACAAATAAATAAAGCCCTAAATCCCTGCAACAGAGCACCTGGGATAAAGGGAAAAAGAAAAAAGGGATTTATGAGTTCTGCTGCAGCAGACTTACACGTGCCTGCCCAGCAGCTCTGAATGAACAACAGAGCTCACAGCTCAGCACCTGAGCTCCTATAAAGGACAGACTGTCTCCTCAGGCAGCTCCCTGACCCCTGTATGTCCAAAGAGTCACCTCATAAAGGAGACCTTAAACTGACATCTGGCGGGTATCCTTCTGGGACAAAGATAGCAGAAGAAGAAACTGGCAGCAACCCTTACTGTTCTGCAGCAGCTGCAGGTGATCCCAGGCAAGCAGGACCTCAGCAGTCCTACAGCAGAGGGGACCTCAGCAGTCCTACAGCAGAAGGGCCTGAATGTGAGAAAGAAAACTAAGAAACAGAAAGAAATAGCTTCATCATCAACAAACTGGATGTCCATTCAGAGACCCAATCTGAAAGTCAACAACTACAAAGACCACAGGTGGATAAATCCACAAAGATGGGAAGAAACCAGCACAAAAAGGATGAAAACACCCAAAACCAGAATGCCTCTCATCCTACAAAGGATCACAACTCCTCACCAGCAAGGGAACAGGCTGGATGGAGAATGAGTGTGATGAATTGACAGAATCAGGCTTCAGAAGGTGGGTAATAAGAAATTTCTCTGAGATAAAAGAACATGTTCTAACCCAATGCAAAGAAACTAAGAACCATGAAAAAATATTTGACGAAATGCTAACGAGAATAAACAATTTAGAGAGGAATATAAGTGAATTGATGGAGCTGAAAAACACAACACAAGAACTTTGCGAAGCATGCACAAGTTTCAACAGCCAAATTGACCAAGCATAGAAGAAAGGATATCTGAGGTCGAAGATCAACTCAATGAAATAAAATGAGAAGGCAAGATTACAGAAAAAAGGGTAATAAGGAATGAACAAATTCTTCAAGAAATATGGGATTATGTGTAAAGATCTAATCTATGTTTGATAGTTGTACCTGAATGTGATGGAGAGAATTAATCCAAGCTGGAAAACACTCTTCAGGATATCATCCAGGAAAACTTCCCCAACCTAGCAAGGCAGGCCAATATTCAAGTCCAGAAAATACAGAGAACACCACAAAGATATTCGTCAAGGAGAGCAACCCCAAGGCACATAATCGTCAGATTCACCAGGGTTGAAATGAAGGAGAAAATACTAAGGGCAGCCAGAGAGAAAGGTGGGGTTACCCACAAAGAAAAGCCCATCAGACTCACAGCAGATCTCTCAGCAGAAACCCTACAAGCCAGAAGAGAGTGGGGCCAATATTCAACATCCTTAAAGAAAAGAACTTTAAACCCAGAATTTCATATCCAGCCAAACTAAGCTTCATAAGTGAAGGAAAAATAA